AAGAATTTTCAGCAGCCAGTTTTTTTTTTTTTTTTTTAGGGGGATAGGGGGGTCATCCAAATGTGCCTTATGTCCATGTAAGTTTTTGTTTTGGATAACATGATTTCTTTTAAGCTTTTTTCCCTTTATCAAGAGAAGTATTCTTATATTAAAGACTGAGATTCTAAGTTGCTAAAACAAAGCTGATGAATATTTTGAGCTGTATTCAAATGTAATTAGATCTGTCTTTGGGCTCCTGAGAAATGTGACTGATACCTCTTTATTTAAGAAAGCAGACAGAGATTACATGAAAGCTGATGGCATAATAAAACTATGATGCTGTGAAATTTGTTGTTTTTGATGCAACTGGCTAACACAATAATCCTGTAATCTGCACTTCTCTGAAAAGGACAAAGTAGACATCACACTTACACCCTTGTTAGGGAAGGGACCTACCACTTCATTTTATTAATTATATCATTTGACTCATATGCCATTCCTGGAATTAGGTGGAACACTCTTTCCAGTGATGATAAATGAAGTCACTTCTATTTTCAACATCTTTAAACAGTACCTGTGAATTTGATTTGGTGTCTCTGAACACATGAATATAAGCATGGATTCAGGGGGGCCATAATGGCAGGAATTTGGGACTCCACTCAACCAAATGAGCCAAATGGTCTCTAAAAGTCTGGATTCCCATATTTTGGAGCAAAAGCACTAGTACACCTTACTAAGGTTGTAGAAAACTCTTCATTAAATATTCTGGGTTCCCTGGAATGTCCCATTTTTCTCCCAGAAACATTCCAGTTCATCTCTCTGGCCAACATGTAATGCTCTAGATCAATGTTTCTCAACCTTAGCAACTTTAAGATAAGTGGATGTCAACTCCCAGAATTCCCCAGCCAGCATGATGTTGGCTCTATGATAAATAGAAAGAAAAATAAGGAGTAGCCACACAGACAGTTGGAGTATTAAGTTATTATACATGGTTATTTTTATTTCTTTGCTGTTGCTTTGAATGAAAGCCTTCTGGTTTTCTGAAATTCATAACTTCAGCAGAAGAAGCTAACAGCTGTTTAATTAATTATTGCTATTTTCTTTGAAATTAAAATCTATGCCTCTCTTGCCACTCCAACACATTTTTAAAAATTTCTGATTGCTTGTCATGCTCCCTCTACTGTTCCCAATCATGTATTGCACCATGCCAAGAAAAAAAATCCAATTAATTATCTTACCATAGAAAACAACTTCAAACTAATTCTTTTTACTTTTTAGATGTTTAGTCTGGGTAACTCAAACTCAGGTAGATGGGTAGAAGAAGGATTACAAAGATAAATGTTATCTCAATCTTATAAAGCTATAATCTGAACAAGACAAAGAAACTTACGAAGTGACCATGTGTACAACCCTCTTTTTGGAATAAATATTACATCAGTATGTTAGTAAATCATTGTCAGCCCTTGTAGATCACTGAACTGCTGCTGTTTACTTGTCTCCTGTACTTATATGTTACCCTTCTGCTGATCTGTTCAACAGCTTTTATGATTAAACCACTAAAACAATTTTTAGACCTACTTGTACATGTCCTAGACATTACCCTTTCACATCTTAGTGGAAGCAATTAACACAGACATTTAGAATCCCAAACAGATGGAGCCTAGTTCCTTTAAGTTCCGTAATGCAAGAAGGCTCATAGAAAAAGCATTGCTATCTTGCCTTTCATGATTTTAATGCTCACTAAAATTGAGTTTCCCCATTTCAGTGTGGGGCTTTCTGAATTATATTTATTTATTTATTTATATTTCAAATTTGGTCACTGCCCATCTCACTAGGAAGTGCCTCTGGGTGGTTTACAGTAAAAACCAAAAATAAATATTAATTAAAATACAGTAAAATACAATAAAAATACAATAAAACCCATATTCATACATAAATAATAATATCTTCCAAGGTGCTGCTGGTAGAAAGGATTATGTACTGTATATGACAGAAAATTTAAAAAGACTGATGGGAGTTGTTAGATAATATGACAATATGTATATATGTATAAGATATAAGGGAATCAATATATCAATTGTTGAAGAAATTCAAGCATCATTCTTGACTGATCTTATAAAGTTGATAGTGGTATGAAGCTAGGAGAGATGAGTCTGTAAAATTTAGCATTCTCCTCTTCCCATCACAAATCTCATATAATTCTTTCTTCAAGGGGCTGCTTGATACAATACTCACACATAGAGCTTTTAATCAAAAAGTTGCCATGCTGGGACATCTGCAATGGTCACCATCATGACTTTTTTGACCCCCCCTCAACCTATGGATGTCCCTGCATGGTGCATTTTTTCTGTCTTTTCTTCCTTAGCAGATTTATGAGAAAAAAGGCAGAAGAAGGAGCTTAGAAAGAGGAAATGATATTTGTACAGTATAAACCTAATTCAAACCAACCATAGTATTTGTAGTTAGTATATTCTGTGAGATATAAATGTTCAGTTAAATAACCTTGACCATCTCAGGTGCTGCTTCCAGAAATCTCGCTGAGAATTTCTCAAACTCATTGATTCAAAGTTCAATGACCTCAGCAGTTCAACTTCTTCCACTCATCCATCTGGAATTCTCCTATTCCTCTGCCAAGCTGGTGAATCATTTCTTTGCTCTGGGCTTACACTGCAGTCATTTATATGCAAAGTGACTTCTATGACAAAGTATGCTATAGAAATATTTAATCAGCTTAGTAAAGAAAAGCTCCTTTGCTAGTTGGTGGTTGCAGGTTGTTCTGTGAGGAGTTGCCCAGATCAACCAATAAGGAGTCATGCCAGGTTGCATACATCTACTGGAACATGGTGCTTCCCATCTACCAGATACAAGGCATGTGTTTGTAGATATCATGTTATCATTGTAATCCACATTACCAGAGCCCAGGATGGAAGGCAATGGATACTTGGGTGGAGGGTAGATAGTTATCCATTCCCTTTTATCCTTTGGATAGACTTATGAAGAAGAATAGGCTAAAATCTAGTGCTGGCCCAGGTCATTTAGCTCCATAGCAAGCTAGAAGTTTGGATCCAAGTTGATCTGTCCTAATCTAGCATTCTGTAACAGAGCTGTACAATCTGAGGCCTATAGAAAAATCTTAATTCCCTCCCTTGACTTCTTCCAGAAATTGCAACCAAACTGTAATTTTTAATGTGATGTAAGAATGACATTGTTGAATGCAAGCAGAGCATTCCTATTTCAGTGTGGAATTTAGCTTTTGTTCTCCTCCCCCCCACCCCCCCGGTCCTGGTCGTCCCTACTTTTTAAAGAGTTTCCCCTGGCTTACTACCCCAAAGCCAAGTGTGGTTGTCATGCTGGAAAAAATTACATTCTCCTGCTTTATGAGGTT